GATCAGCATTCTGACGTGCACCATAACCTGACACTAAATGTGTATTATTACCCGTCTGTTTTAAACCGACACCATCTCCTATCAGATCATCAGTCTCGGACAACAAAGAGCAATTCAGACCTAAAGCTTTAGACATATTTTAGTAGACTTTAATGAGAAACTTGAAAATATAACCTTATCCTGGTCACCACACCAAATTTGTAATAGGCGCCTAGTGCGTGGAGTGTGTTGAACAGATGCCCAGTGACAGCAGAACTAAGCAGATATATGGCAAGAGTCAGCTGGATACTGAATGTGGATGCTTTGCGTTTTGTTCTCGGTCTCTTAGTTTGTGTGGTCAGTATATCTTGCCTACGAGTTCTGTATAATCGGTTCCTGGCTGGTTGTTCCTGTTTCCCTCAATTATAGTTACAACACAAGAAAATGAACTTTCCATAGATTAAAAAATCTATCTTAATAGATTAAGAAGTAAAGATGCAAGCCAGTCAAACCAATCCAGCGACAAACGACTAGGGCTCTCACGACTCGGACCCGAGTACCCGACAATTTTTATGCTTATCTAAAGCCAACATTCAAGCATACACCCTGTTCCAACTTCCAGTCTACTAATAATGCAACATGTATATGTGAATCTAAACGTTCTTGAATAAAGCATTTGATATTCAATGTCAATAGATGTATATATTACCTTTTTATTATTGCAAACAGCATGTGAAGGCAACGCAAGTGTGACTGTGACCCAGTTCTACACGAGCATTAATATTCATGAGCTGGGCTGGTGATACCTTAATACGCCTGTAAATGCTGTAATATGATTGGATGTGTCCGGGAAAAGAAACCAATGAATGTACTTCTCTTTTTATTTTGGTTTTAAGTTTGACTGCGCTTTCAAGATTATCTTATATTAATACACATGAAATGTTTGGGAGCCATGCTTTACCCCGCGGTTTAACCGAATCCGCGGTATCGTGAAGCGCGTTATTGCGAGGGATGACTGTATGTCGTTGCAGTTATGACATATTAGCAACTTTTTAAACATTCACCTAGATCAATTCACATAATCAATTAATCATGGTTACCTCGTAGGGTGGGAATAACCCGATGCGCCTTGTGGCTTACTGTTGTATGATCCCCAGGGAGTTGAGATAATAAGATGTGCTGTTTAAAATGACATCCAATGATCGAGGGAAAAATACCAGCACCTTAAGCATGCATTAGTGCGTGGATATGTGCTATATAAATATCCCAATAATAATAATAATGGTTAAAATGCGGCAAAACGTGTGTAAGCTGGAAGATATTTAGACAAGCATTCATTGATTGGTGCTGCATTGGATATCTTGTAAAGATGGATCGACTATGGAACTTAAAGAATAAAATATGTAAAACAGGATCCATGTTTATTTGAGTCTTCTTATAATGAAAACGTTTTGGTTTCAAACGAAAGACTAAGCATTTACTGAGTAACACTACACTGAATTTCTTCTTCCGAAACTCTACTGAACGGAGATCAGGTCAATGGTATTTATTGTGATTAAAACTTTAACTATTTCAGGATTTAGGTCTCCAAGTGTGAATGTTATTTTGAATGCGTATGTATGTATGTATGTATGTATGTTATGTATGTATATGTTGATTGTTGAATATGTAACACTGAAATACGCTGGATAAGAACGACTGAATATCTATGTAGAAAACAAGTTGAACAACAAGAGTGAAGACTAATTTATCAAATTGTTTGTATAATAAAATTAAGGCAAGAAGGCAAGAACACACGGCAAAGTTTTAAAGAACACTGCTTATTATTGAAACACGACAGATATCATACTACCATTTCTTTCATATTTGCTTTTAGAAATTGCTGTTAAAAGTGACATAACTTTATCTTGAAAGAACAAGTCAATAACACAACTTCTTGAAATTAAAATATGAATACACACCCATATGCTGTTAGACGGCATTTCGGGGTTTTTTTTACGTTGTTTTTTGCCACTAAATCAAGATCAAAATGCGTCCAGACATTGCATTTTTTATCATGATCATCCATCTTGATTGCGTGAGACGTTTAGAGTTATCTTCCCTGCGAGTGAGACGTTTAGAGTTATCTTCCCTGTGAGTACATTCAATTGGACTCGAGTCCTGCTTTACCCGACTCGGCCCCGAGTACCCGAGGTACTTGTGAGAGCCCTACCAACAACCCTACATATCTCTCCCCCCCTTCCCTACCTACATAAAACCTACCTAAACTCTATTTAACTTCCTATTACATCCACCTCGAAAACAACAAAATAAACCTACTTGAGTTGGCTCTTGTGCGTGTGCAGAGTGAATTGCTGCAGGCAATTGATTCAGATGGTGTGGCAGTGTTGGTGTTGATCGATTTGTCAGCTGCTTTTGACACAATTGACCAGTCCATTCTTCTTAACAGATTGAATGAGAGATTCAGTGTTACTGGTGAAGCTTATTTCTGGATGGAGTCCTATCTGTCAGGACGATTTCAGGCTGTGAGAGTCAATGGGCAAATGTCAGAGTATGGAGTTCCACAGGGTTCTGTACTGGGACCAGTGTTGTTCACTATCTACACATCACCTCTCGGGGGACATTGCTCGTGCCAATAATCTCTCGTTCCATCTCTATGCTGACGACACCCAGCTGTATCTGGCCTTCAAGACCTCCAACAGAACATCAGTAGAGGATACATATCGTCGTTTGATGAACTGTATCAAGGACATCAAGGATTGGATGACCTTAAACTTTCTCAAGCTCAACAGTGAGAAGACAGAACTGCTGATCCACTCTTCAAAGTCAACGAGAGAGGCAAACTTGCTCTGCCCACCTTTGAAATTGGAGGCTGCATCATTGAACCAAGCAAAGAAGCACGAAATCTGGGATTTGTATTTGACTCATCTATGAATGCAGAGTCCCATGTAAACAAAGTATGCAGACATGCATATTTTAACATCCAAAACATTGCCCAAATACGTCGTTTTGTAAATCTAAAGACCGTAACATCTCTTGTTCAGTGCTGTGTTGTGTTTAGATTACTGCAATGCTCTTCTAATTGGACTACCAAAGCAACTGATAGCAAAGCTGCAGCGCATTCAGAATTGTGCAGCTAGACTTGTGACAAAGACAAAGAAAGAGAGCCACCTTTCTCCAGTGTAAAGAAACTTCATTGGTTGAAGGTGGCGGACAGAAAGTGCTCCTGTTAACCTTCAAAGCAAGGACAGGCCTAGCCCCTGTGTATCTCCAGGAACTCCTCCAGGAATACAAGCCTGCGGGGTCTCTTAGATCCATGGGATAAGGCATGCTGTGTGTTCCACATGCAAGGACCACCATCTATGGAGATCGATCCTTCGCCAGAGCAGCTCCACGACTTTGGAATGATCTACCATTAAAACTGAGACTTATAAATAATTTGGCCGCTTTTAAAACCAATCTCAAGACCCACCTTTTCTCAAAGACATACGCCTAGATCGAGTGGACATTGCTGATACATGTAACATGCATCCTCTTAATGCGCTTTTGAGCAGTTATACTAACTGGATTCTTGCACTATATAAGTTCTTAGTTGATGATGAGGATGATGATACTTGTTCCTAATCTATTTCTCCCCCTCCTGCAACTACCTGTAAGTCAATATATTACCCAAACAATAACAAGAAAGTGTTTTTACTTGTAAAAACAGATGTCTCCCCCTTCCCCCAATTCAACGTTGAGACCTTAAACAATTCATTTCATTCCTTCAATTTCAAAATCTCTCTAAGTATGAAAATACATATTATTGATAGTATGTTATTATGTTTGTAAAGTCTTCATTTCTTATTTTTATATTCAATTAAACTTAATTTAGTACTGAAAATAATACAATTTTGCTAAATATACAGAGAAAGTTCATGGTGTTTTATAGTAGTACATGTATATGGTTGATGCTTCTAAGCTTACCAATAATTGGTATTAAGTATACAAAATTTGGTGAAGATGGGTGAAGAGGTCTTAGAGTTATAGTTCCAAACACAAACCCTACCCTTCAAAAAGACCAAGTCCAAATTGTTGCCATGAAAACAGAAAAAACGAAAATTGAAAAAAAAACTCAAACCCCCAAAAGGCACATCTACATGATATGGAGAGGCAGTATACCAAATTTGGTCAAGATTGTTCATGCAGTTTTAGAGTTATGTTCCGGAAACAATGGGAACTCTGACGCCAACGTAAACTCAGCCAAAAACATTATGTCTCCCGATCCTTCGGGGGGAGACATAATAAACATGAAGTGGAAACCAAATAAGCTGGCCTTGGTTCAAGACACGGATTAACCTGTTGATTAACTTACTTGATGCGGGTTCCGGACAACTGACAATTCCCTACCTACACCGGGCCATGTGACGTGGGAAATCTGAAATTCAGCCAGTGCGCATGCTCCCTGCATCTCTGCCCCTCAAGATGGCTGAGCAGGCAAGAAGCATGACATCGTCATGTCTCCCCAGCCATATGTCCCTCATGGGCCAAAAGCTTCGACAACAAGGACTACAAAAGGTAGGTACTACATCAGCCGCCCACCCAAATAACGAAACTACCCCACCCACTATGCAATTATTATATTTAAGTATTTAAACCCTGAGACACCCGCACTAGCATCTACACTGAAATGTTGCATATATTGTAATAAAGAAGTTGTATATCCATAGAATTATTGTCCTTGTCCATCACACCAACTTCTAAGTTCCACTCAAAGAAGACACGATGTAGAAGTTTTTTTCAGTAATTAATACTTTCTTTGTGGCAAACCATCTTAACACACACACACATGATACTGATAAGAGCAAACAATATGGACATCATGCAATACATGAATAAATTGACAGATAAAGTTTGACGAATATAACATGCTGAAGATGCATAATCTGTGTCAAACATAATCTTTCGCAGGTGATATGCCTAAAAAGTCAATATAGCTCTTTTCAGTATTAACATAAAACATATATAATGTACATACAAACCTGAGGTACTTTGCAGGAATTGAGAGTTCTGCTGAACTTGATATCTACATCATCTCTGAATAATTTTGGATCTGACCTGCAAGAAAACATTGGACATAACGAAAAGTACTTGTGACATCAATTTCCAATCTGGAGCAAGGATCAAAAAGCCTCACTTGCATGACAATTAAGGATAAAATATTATTCAATCATTCCTGCAAAAAGGAATCTAAAAATGATGTTGCCAATCTTCTTGAATCGTGGTTGTATAGACTGTTTTGCCCAATAAAGTATTGTTTGAGATTGAGGTTAGAAATGTTTTTGTTTGTGGAAAGAGAAGAGTTCGCACAAACAAAAACATTTTTAACCTCAATCTCAAACAATACTTTATTGGGCAAAACAGCCTATACAACCATGATTCATGTTGTCCTCAAACTTGACTTCCGGTGTACATTTAAAAAACAATAGGTTCAATTACTCCATTGATACTTAAATGTCATTTTCAATATTACGACGTTTCTTTTGCCTTTCAGTATATAATAACTGTTAGAAAACCTTAAACATTTCGGGCTTTTCTTTGCCCCTTCATCAGGTGAATGGTTATGGGGTGTCTGTGATGTTTTAAGGGGGGGTCACCCATTTTGTTCTGGGGAGCTAGGGGGGTCATCAATTCTGTACATAAAGATATTTCAAAATTATGCTTAGAAATTATGGAAGGGGAAGGGGGACAATTGATTTTGTACATGACATGCAGGGGGGTCACTTATTTTGTACATAAATTTTAGGGGGGGTCATTCACATTGTACATGCTTCTCCAAAAAATCATCATCATCCCCCCAAACCATAAATTATGAACAGTCCCTAATATAGGATACAATAAACTAAAACAATAGATGTCACTCACCAGCTAGTTAGTGTCAAAGGATACACATCTTAAAACTCCAAATATACTAGCCACATAAAGAAACTGTGCATTGTCAAAATATTATCCCAGTTGATAAGTACGATAACAATGTCAAAGGTACATATAAACTTTAATGGAGGGATCATGAGACCATAACAAGTCGGGAGAATTTCAATTGAAAAGTCAATCACAATGACGTCACGAGTCCACAAGCGGGACAGGGGTCAAACGACCATGTCACAAGCTCAATAACGGGTATGTCCACCATCGGCATTGAGAACAGCAGTGCATCGACGATGCATAGAGCCTATCAAACGTGCAAGGAAGTCTTGTGGGATGTCTCGCCAGATTAGGAACAATTACATGTATTGTTAGTAATTATTAGTAAACTTACCTCTGGATTATGGTTGCCTTATTCCTGTGGATTTCACAGACACATGCAGAATGGAAATGAAATTTTTTTACTAAGTCATAGCTATCCCTACAGGTATGCTTAAAAGAGTTATGCACTTATCTCCCTTGGCTGTGACGTCACAACATAGTTGTTGAAAACCTCTCATGATTTTTCTGAAGAAAACTAACATCTTCTGCATCTCCTCGTGGGGAGGTTGGCGCGGGCACTAAATCCCATAATCCAGAGGTAAGTTTACTTATAATTACTAACAATACATGTAATTGTTCCTAATTATAGGCGTAAACAATCCCTCTGGATTATGGTTGCCAGAATCACACATAAGGAAGGAGGGTTTATGTAGATGATGAATACAGCAATACCACTAATTATCCCGTTATAGTCTATGACATAACAATTAGGGTAACTATGACTTAGGTGATGAAATGTAATTATATGAATTATCTAGATCATTCCCTGGATATTCTAGTATTTAATTACCTAAATGGAAGGATCATACTCGTGAGGGAGAAATATTTGGTGTTTGGAGAAGACTGACGTCACTTCCTGTCCAAGACCTCATAGGTGGTTCTGTAATAGTCTATTTGACCGATTCTCATTTAAACCGGTTTCTGTGACATCACTTCCTGTTTGATGACGTCACTTCCTGTTCATGACATCACTTCCGGTCCATGACGTCACTTCCGGTTCATGACGTCACTTCCGGTTCATGATTTCACTTCTGGTTCATGATTTCAAGTCTTCTCGTAGATTATTTAACTGGAGTAATAAACTGCAGCGGATATAATAGTTCCACTTGCTGGTAATAAATATTAATAGATAAGGTTCTTCAAAGATCCTCATCCTTCCATTTACTGTTAACCTGTTTCCTCCCTCACAGTCCAAAACAGTGAACCACTGCTGAGTTTGGATATATCAGCACACACCCCCTACTTTTTCCCCCTCAAGGGAAAAACAGGTGGAGGAGAGGCGCTGTCTGTAGGCTCTCTAAGGATGGAATGACGTTTCGCAAAACTAAATTGGTGTAGGGATTAGATATTTTCAAACGGCATGCAGCAACAATCTGATCTATGGAAAAGGACCCCCAAGCTGCAAGTGACGACATCCAGGCCCTGGTCTCATGCAGGGAAAACTATTGTTCACTAAGTTGGGGTCACAGTCCTGGTAAACAAAAGTGATGGTCCTCCTAAGCCAAGACGATATAATATGCAATCAAGATCTCCAAAGCAACAATTGTCTTGCATGAGATAAAAAAGACAGCGGCAAATACGTCTGATATGGAGAGTACGCTGGAGATATCATCGCAGAGCTCGAATAGGTCATAGGACTCTAGTTCAGTCTGATCTAGAGGCAGATGTAGGGAATACTTGAATCTGGTATACTCTGTGGATGAGAGACCACTAGCAGATGCCCGATTCTTGGCAAGAAAAAACTGGTAAAGTGCTACATGACAGCCATCCATAGCCTCCTGTAAAGGTGATTGGCTAAAGTCTATGGCAAAAAATTCTGTTATTCTGAAACTGGAAGCTGTATCAATGACAAGGAGAAACCCCACCTGTTAAGGAAAAGAAATGTCAAGGAATTTCCTACATAGGTTTGGAAGACTTCTGGAGGGACTACAGAATGAGACATAAAGCCAACGTGGGGAAGATTGTAGGACTAGGAGCTGAAAAAATAAAAGAATAAATAAAGAATTAAATTCGTAACTGGAATGATCTAATCGGCTTGTAGATCAAGCTGTTAGAACCACTGCTAGTCCTTGTGTATCCTAAACAGAAACGATTGCTGATCTGTAGTCCACCATAGGACTGTTTCAGTGTCTTAACATCACTAAGATAAAGATAGAAATCCGCTAAGAAATTTGAAGTCCCCTCAACATGAAAAATGGAGGATCGATATCAGAACAATGAAAAATATCCAGAGATTGGTGAAACAATTTCCTCATTGGATTGTTCTGGAAGTTCTTCTCCAGTCAAGAGGCGATGGTACTAGTGCTGCCGAATAGTCTAACACAAACACTCAAGTGTGATTGGCATCAGAAAACTGCCTGAAAAACGACATCCAAAAGAGGAGTGGGCAAGCATCCCTCATGGGCTAACATGACCACCACAGTATCTTGATTAATTGCCAAATAATCCTCAAAACCTGGGTGAGGAAGCTACACGATACCCAAGACAAGGCAACCGCCGTATGAAAAGATATCGATCTAGTATGCATGGGCTAAAACCTAAAAACTCCCTTGGACTAGGAGGAACGTGATTTAAATGTGAATGAAAGTTTGGGATAATTCGAGAACAGATGTGAGAAATCCCTATCAATTTGAAGCACTGGCGAGGAAAAAGCAACCCCATCTTAACAAGGTTGACATTGGCTTGTCTATCAATACCCCTAGCCGAGGATGCTAAGCCTTTGTATTTACAATATTGTGACTGAATTGTTCAGCCAAGTTGTACAGTGAACGCAGACACGAGATCACAGAATAATGTCCCACATGGTGCATAAAATTCTCACAGCGCATCTCCAATGGCGCATCATATGTCTAAAGAACGTACCGTCAATGAAAAGGACATACTAATCAATGCGCCATTGATTAAACCCATGATTAAACTCATGTCCGCCCGTAACACTCTACAACCTAACAACACGATGTTTACAGCGCCCATTTACAATGTATGAGCTCTCGGCCAATCAGCGTCATTCAGTCCGCAGTAAATACTTATCAGCCAATGAAATAATTCGTTATATTGTAGCTTACACAAGGTCTAAGCTGGTTCCCAAGCTGGTTCCAGGCTCCCGTTGCGCTCGCGAGCTTGCGCCACATTGCGTATATTGCTATAAGCGAGACGGGGCCCAGCTGAAAACAAGGTCGCAAAGCATGGCAGAAGTAGGTAGACCAACGGAAGATGCCATTAGCGTGTTTAGGGAGATGAGGATGAAAAAGTAAACGAACGACAGAATACACCTTCCAAGATCCGTCAGAATGCAGAGGGATAATAGGCACTTGGTAGAACAATAAATGTGCCCTATAACACGCCTTTTCCAGGTACAAGGCACATGCTCAAGGTGTTGACATGTTACCTGTTATTACCCCTGATAACCCATGCTGCCAAGAGGCGCGAGAAAATTGAATAGCCACATGATTTATCCCACCAGGTACCCATGTACCCTGCTGGTCATATAGAGGCAAATGAATAAACACACTTGCCTGTATTCAGTGACTGGATATCAGTCTTGTTTCCAACCTAATGGTATATCGCCCGTGCCTCCCGTGGAGCGCTCAGCTGACAGTGCATGCTGGCAAGAAAACGCACGTGTCATCCCAGTTATCTGATTCATTCACCTGGCCGTCACCTGGTCCGACGCATGTGCTACCTGAACTGCCGATGCCTCGTGGAATAGCAGATTGAGTTTGAACCCTGGCCTCGAATATAGCCGTGGTGTTGCTAATTCAGTAATAATAATAATAATATGATAATAATGAATGTTACATATCGCCAAATCCGACCACAAGGTGGATGCTCAAGCGCTACAAAATGAGGGTGGAGTCTGTAAGAAGGAGTATTCAATAAGAATTGCTTCCAGATCACAGTTGTCTGGGTGGTTGAAGGGGCAATTCACTGAAACGATTAGAAATTCTGGTGCTATGCCATTTAGACTCTTGTATGTGATACAGAGTACTTTAAACAACTGTACCGGGTTGTTTGGAAGCCATGGCCCGGAGGTAGATTCCAATGGAACGGGTGAATACCCGAAGTGGTAGACAAAGTAATAGGCTCAGATG